TCAAAATATCTCCCCAACTCCTTTGCAAAGCTTGGAGAAGGTGGTAGAGTTTGGGGATAGATTTTAAGACATTGAGTTAGAATGTTATGGGCCTTGCTTTGATTACGGAAGCCTGTCCCCTTCGCCAAGCTGTGATTTCCTGTGGAATTATTTCTCATTTTGAGCATCCAACCTTCTTCCAGATGCCTTTGCAAAAGAGCCCACTTTCCAGATGGCAAGGGATGAGGAGAGCACCCACGGGCCCTCCTCAGGAGCAGCCCTGTGCCCTGCCATCCCTGCTGCTGTCACTCAGCATTAGTCTTGCTGGTCTTTGAGGGAGGTAGGATCTAGATTTGAAAAAGCACCTGGGGATGGTCCAGGGCCAGACCTGTTTGAGTGTAGCATGTGAGCAGGGCTGTTCCAATACTGAATGGCATTGGCTTCTGCTGGGGGTCAGTCACTCACCTGCCTGCAATTTGGGAGCCAGAAGAAAGGTCATCAGGAGCATAAGTGGCTGCATCTCCTCAAGACGCTGCCCATGTCAGAGCTGCTGATGCTTCCTCCTGGTCTTCTGAGGCCAGGGTTCTCTGGCCTTTATCATCCACGGCCCTCTCTGAGTGCGTCACACTGCGGTGTTGTCAAGGTCTTGGGCAATGTGGGTTCATGTGAAGGAGGAAGAGGAAATCACATTCAGATAAAAGTGAATGCTGTCAGTTTCACTTGTGTTTAGGTGTCAGAACCTGTATTATGTTCACTGTACACTCCCAATGCCTGGCACTTAGTAGGTGCACAATCAGCATTTGTTCATTGATTGATGAAAAAGCTGTGTTTTCCAGTCTTACTTGTGTTCAGGTGTCAGAACCTGTATTATGTTCACTGTACACTCCCAATGCCTGGCACTTAGTAGGTGCACAATCAGCATTTGTTCACTGATTGAGGGAAAAACTGTGCTTTCCAGTCCTACTGTAGAGAACAGCCCTTTCTAACTCAAAAGGCAGGTAGAGCCCATGGTGGCCAGCATGCAGTCTGAGCCTTGAGGCCAGCAGTGAGGAACAGGCTGCAGGGGACAAAGGCTCCTGAGTGACCAGCAGTCAGTGGACTCTGAGCACATGGTGGGGACACTGGGCTGGATGTGAGGGTGGAGCTGGCTCTGCCCAGTGAGAGATGGGGCCAGTTGTTCTGCAGACACCCTGCCGCCCTGTCCTCCAGGGCCCTGCATGGGGCCAACACAGTCCTGGTCCCCCGGTCACCCTGTGTCTGGGCATAAGCTGGGTGGCAACTCAGTGACCAGGCCCTGCTGGAAGGTGGGCACTCTGGGTGTCCTAGGTGGGAGGGATATGCAGAAGTGGGAGCTCAGACCAGTGTGGTCTGTGGGGCGCAGGGTTGGTGGACTCTGAGGATGCTCAGTGGTTAGCAGGGATGAGAAGGGGTAGCCAGGACACTGGAGGCCAAGCTAGGCCCTGAGCTCAAACGAGGGCAGAAAAGGGCAGGGAGAGAAATTCAGCCCAGGAGGGAATGAGGAGCTTCTCAGGACTTCCCTCCCTCCTCCCCCCCTGTCTCTCCTCACCAGCCCCCAGACCCCACCCCTGCCACCCCCTGGTTGCTGGAGAACAATGTCCTGCTCAGGAGGGCCCTCCTCTCCCATGTGCGGTGGGGCCTCCTGAGCTGCAGCCCAGGCTGTGCCTGCTTGGTGCCCAGCACCCACATGCTAGTCCTTTCCTCTCAGCTCATAACGCAGAGGAAGAAGTAAGACCTTCACACTGAGCCCAGGACCTGAGAGATTCATGTTTTCTTCTAATGGTGCTCCTCTCTGCCCTGGCAGAAGGGCAGGCAGGTGTGGCCAAGAAGGAGTTGGTAACAGCTTAGCATGGGTTTGAGGAGGTGAGGGGGAAGGGGAAGAGGGGGAAGGAGGACACAACAGAATTGTGCCATTGCCTTCTGAGCACATGAGGGACAAAGAATAAACAAAAACCTAGCTCTTCCCATCAGCTAAGAGACATTTATTTGGTTGCTGGCACCCCCTCCCTCCCCGCAGTGTGGTCCTGGATTAGCTCCAGAGAAGGTGGTCTGCGTCCTGCAGTTGGAGGCTTTCCATGGTTTTCTTTATCCAGGAAAGGTAGCTGACGACTTTGGTGAAGGCTCGTGGCAGTTCCCCATACTTGCTTCCATAGGAGACAATGCCCTGGATCTCATTTTGACACAGGAGAGGCCCCCCGGAGTCCCCCTGTGGACAGAGAGAGGGAAGGACTGAGCCAGTTCTCCTGGCCCTGCCCTCCTTGCCACTCATGCCCCCCTCTTGGGGAAGGCTGCCTTGCATGGTGTTCACTTGGGAGATAAGTGAGCAGGCAGGTCCCCAGTGGTCCCCTCAGCCTGGACATTGTCACTGCTTCACTTCACCCCAGGTGGAAGCTCCTTTTGCTCCCTCAGGTCCCTAATCCTTTGTCTATGAAGGTGCTGTGGAGCTGTGACTGCAGCTACTGTGTAAGGACCCGAGAGCAGACAGATGGGGCTGACACTTAATGTGGAGAAGGAGCCCATTAACCAGTTCTGAGAACCCTCAGATACAACTACTGCTCACCCAGGAAACAATCATCTAAGCACTGTGCCCTGGCCTTGGCCACAGTGTTGCACATTCACCCTCTGGAGGAGCACCATGTTTGGAGTCACTATAGGCCCTTTTAAGG